AAAAAAAAAAAAAAAAATCACTCTGGCTGCTGTCTTTAGAAGAGGCTATACAGATGCAAGGAGGGTAGAGCAGGCAGACCATTTAAGAGGTTACTACAATAATCCAGGCAAAAATGATGACATCTTTAAATACAGCAGTAGCAATAAATATTGTTAAGATTCTGGATATATTTTAAAACTTTGTAATCACAAATTGAATTCTTCCTACCAAAATAGGCCTTGAGACAATAATAACCCAGTAACATTTAGCACCCCTAGGAACCAGATTATAATCTCTAAACACCATTTCCCACTAAAAGAACCAGGACTATTTAGAAAAAAAGTTAATAGAAAAAAGGTTAACTCCAAGCTCAGAGTGAGAAAAATGCAAAATAAGTCTAGAAGATCTTTTCATAATAGAAAGCAAAAATTCTAGGGGCGCCTGGGGTGTCTCAATTGGTTAAGCAACCGATTCTTGATTTTGGCTCAGGTCATATCTCACTGTTCGTGAAATCTGGGGTCTGGTTTGGGCTCTAAGTGTGGAGTCTGCTTGGGATTATCTCTCTCTGTCTCTCTCTCTCTCTCTGCCCCACACCTGCCCTCTTTCCTTCTTTCTCTCTCTCTAAATAAATAAATAAACATTTAAAAAGGGGGAAAAAAAGGTCTACTAAGATTACTGAGATCATCTCAAAGGCCATGGTCACTTACTTGAAGGAGCATCTAGTGACCAAAGATGGGAAAACTCAAGCATCAAAAGGAATAATAAAAAATGACTACAAAAGAGTCCAGTACATTAAATATGTCAAAACTCCGAAGTTCATAATAACACTTAAAAATAAAAATCTTATTGGTCATCTCTGGAGATTCTAGAGCACCAAACTCATAATTATTCTGAAAACTGGTAGGCAAAGGAAAAGAATAAAGCATTTATACTGTGTGCCCTGCATAACTGTATTTCAGGGCATCCAAATAGTTGACAAGAGATGGTTTTATAGAATAAAAACAGATAAGAAGTATGGAAAGAATGATAAAAATATGTTTTCAGTCATATGTGGAATTTGAGAAACTTAACAGAAGACCAAAGGGGAAGGGAAGGAAAAATAAGTTACAGATAGATAGGGAGGCAAACCATAAGAGACTCTTAAATACAGAAAACAAACTGAGAGTTAATGGGGGTGGGGGGTTGGGGGGGCAGGGAAAATGAGTGATGGGCATCGAGGAGGGCACTTGCTGGGATGAACAGTGGGTGTGGTATGTAAGTAATGAATCACAAGAATCTACTCCGGAAGCCAAGACTACACTCTATACACTATATGTTAGCTGTCTTGACAATAAATTATTCAAAAAAAAAAAAAAAAAAAAAAAAAAAAAAAAAAAAAAAAAAAAAAAAGGATGATATAATTAGAATATCAACATTTTCAAGCCCCTAATGAAAGAATGCAACAAGTAATAATCATCAAAGCGGCTAATAAAACTTTCAGGTAAAAAGCTAGTGGGTAACTTTATAACGGATACATAATGAACCCAATGATAGATCTTAACATCATAAAAAAACAAAACCAGACATTATGTGTCTTCTGATATGATGTAATAGTAAGTACACAGCAACTCTAATCAATATATATCAGAAAATGAATCTGAAAAGCCTTATTACCAAAAAAGAGGGAGAGGAATGGACATGGATTGAAAGACATTTACGAGACAGAAACAGGGGCGCCTGGGTGGCGCAGTCGGTTAA